TTTGTAAACACACCCACGACATGACACAGGAGAAAATTTTAATGTGAGGCAAAGTTTAAAAAAAAATATTATATCGACACCAGACAGTTCTAATCAACATCACTACGACGCAGTTTGTCGCGCATGCGTCTTGCCACACGTAGGGGTGTGTCGTAGCTACGCTGTGGTCCAGCCAGCCACCTCGCACCTCACCTCGCCGGGATGCGATGCGAACCCCATTTAATATAAATATGAGTATCTAGTACCTATATAGAACCTCTATATCAAAACATTTTATTGATATTACTGTACTTTTCTCCGCACAATTTACTTACCACTTTTACCAGATTATAGGCATGTGTTCGAAACCGTACGAGCGTACTGAAACCTTAAATTGTTTCGTTTCCGTGAGAATTAAGAAATACCTTATTAAACAGTAATTACATATTTTTTATATTTAATGAACCGACGTTTGACCGCTATATCGCCTGGTGGTAAGCGATGATGCGGTCTAAGATGAAGCACGTCGTCACATAAGCAACCTATTCACTCAGGCCTTGAAGACACCCAGGTTATATACCTTTCAGGAAATACAGACTCTGGAAAAATTTTCACTCCTTAGCAGTACGCACAAGAAAGCTTGATGCGAAGCGCTTCGTGCTTGTTAATGGGACATCTACCATGAATCGGTGACGCTTCGCCGATTGTCTTGTGGTACGATGATGGAAGCACACTCACCGAAATCTATTCGGTAGAACAGAAACGCTTGCAATCTTACGCCTGTGTTAGGGGCTTTGAAGCCGGGCCTCCACAAGCGCATTCAAGAAATAATTGTCTAGAATCAATTAATGTTAAGTAACGTACTCTAGGTACTTGCTGTAACATCTATGTTAGACAGGTTCCTATTATGACTGTATGAACTAACTTTAATGTTACTTATACTGACAAAGAATTTCGAAAGTGATATCAGAGAAAGGTGTGGATTGAAAGATGATGCAGTGACAAGGATTGAAAGGGAAATGGTACGCTGGTTTGGACATATAGAAAAGATGGATGAAAGTATGTAGTGGTACGTAGTAACGAAAGAAGTATACAGAGCGGATATGAATGGGGCCGTCGGTAGAGGGCGCCCTAGATGGACATATACTGACCAGATTGGCGATATATTAAAGAAGGGCCAAATTAAAAGTACCCTTAACCGTCAAGCAGGCATGAAAAATAGGTATGTAGGAATCGTAGCACAGGCGTGAAATTCAAATTATAAATCCAGGTTTCCTCACGATATTTTCCTTCTCCGTTTGTAAGTGGTACCTACCTAAATTGTCATAAAGTACCTACATATAACTCGGAATAAGTCACATTGGTACGTCTGCTGGGGGTAGGTTTCGAACCAGCACCCTCATACGAGAGATGCGGGCGTCTTAACCTCCGGTCCACCACGACATTTCACAACATTGTCTTGGCATTTATAGCTATAAAAATTGGGTAGGTACTATGTTTCAGTAGGTACCTATTAAAATGAAATTACCGATATGAGTCCTATTTTCCTTTGCAAGATGACGAAATCGACCTTATAGTTAGGTATGTGTCGCGGAGAACCTAACTGGTTACCGGGGCTCCGGCTCAAAGTGCAGGGGAAGGAACCGGGTGGCTTTTGATCAGTAAAAATCTGACACTCCCTCCCGCCTCACCCAGGCGGGAGCAGTCATTCGATGATTTTATCCCCTTAAAAAGAAAAAAAGTGGGTAGGTTAGGTACCTACCCACATTTTTTCTTTTTAGTAGGTACCTAGGACTTTACTAAGTGGTTGTCATAGATACAACTACCCTACCTAGGGTTCTCGAGTTCAATTCTCAAGCGCTATTGAAGTATATGAAATCGGAGTTAAAAGATGTAATATGAATATTAATTATCTAGATTAACTACCTAGGAACCTGGTGTTATGGATTCCTTTAGACCAAAGTAAGGATTACCTAGATAGAGTTTAAGAATAACCTTGGGTTATATCAATTATCATCAGCAGGGTAAGCATTAGTTATTAGGTAGGTATGCACTTACTTACGTGTACCTATGCTATTGGTCTCATTGCGTATTGTAACATAACATAACATCACGCCTTTTATCCCCGAAGGGGTAGGCAGAGGTGCATATTATACCACTGTACAATGTAACACCCACTTTTCACTATTTATGTTATGAGTCCCATGTAATAGGGGGTGAGCTTATTGCCATATACCAGGCACAATTTCAGACTCCGTGCTACTACTGAGAATATTTAAAAACCCAGTGATACTTTGCCCGACCCGGGAATCGAACCCGAGACCCCTTGCCCGGCAGTCGCACTTACGACCACTTGGCCAACGATGCAGTTGCGTATTGTAATATGTAGAAAATTGGTAATAGGCCATGGGTACGACCTTTGAGTCTATCTATGACTGGATATAATCCCAGATTCCATCTTATTCTTGTAACTATGTAAGAAATAATTTTCTAATAAAATACTTATGAGTAATGTAGGTAGGTAACAGATTTTTTTTTAATTAAATTCCTCAAAGATAACATAATGTTTTGTTTTGGTAAACGATTATCAAATTACGGATCATTTACATAGGGTTTATTTTTAAATCTGAGAATCATAATTTGACATTTGAAGACCATGATTGCCATATTGACGTTAAACGTTCTGTTTCCTTCATACGTCAGGAACGTTGTACTATATTTTTCTAATAATGTATTGATCAATCACTTTAAGAAGATTAATTAACTTATTTTTGTACATTATTCAAAAATAATAAGTACAAAAAAATACACAAAACATTACTTTTTGGTTTAATCGTTCACGATTAAACTCAGAATTACGTTCCAGTCTACGCAAGAGAAACAAAAATCAAAAAGTTCCACATAAGCGGTATCCGACTGACAACACTGCCGAATACGTGGCCCCGAAGTTCTGTGATTAGTGGGACTTGTTTATATTTTTTATTGTGTAAATTCTATATAAATCTCCTCGGAAGCCGTAAGTAATTGAAAACACATTAATTACCTTCATCCCTGTTAATTTTCACCATCCTCATTATTGTGGGTCTTTACGTAAATTATTGAAAAAGTTGAGGTTGCAGCTGTCAAAATTATCCTAACAAGATTTCGTTAGATTCTTTGTAATTAACTTAATATTAAGACGTTATATAATAGAAATGTTGGGTTGAATTTCGTAACTGATTGCTAGGTAACCTTTTTATTAACAGAAGGTTGTTTTTTTTGTCTAATTTTAGTGTTATTTTAGCTACCTGACAGACGTGTACTTTTTCTGTTCATTTTATGTTTCATCGTCTTTAATTGCACATTCCCACGTATTCTGCCTATAAGACAGTTGTATTTGTGACAAAAATATGATGCAGTCTTCAATTAAGATGTGAACTTAGATCATTTACAATGTATGTCACAAAAATCTGTTATGATATTCTTATCAGATTTCGTATGATAAATTTATTTAGCATCGTTCTGAATTACTATCTAGACTAAAACTGTGTAAATCATCATTAGTATGATATAAATAGCTATAAATCATTTTAAAGTTACCAAAGAGTAGTTGAATTTTTTAATGATGTGTCATCGTTGTTGTCTGAAGAATTTATGAGTGAAAGTGATGATCATGCTGTTTGGACAGTAAATCTTGACATTCTAATAATAACACATAAATTAATATAATGGCCATAATAAGTCATGCAATGGGCACAACTGCAATGTTTAATCACCATTTCTAATTAGATTTTATTCATCCTCTTTTCTCATAATCATAGTTTCTTATAGGTTATTTATTTTCATATGTCTTCCCCTAAAAGTAAAAAAAAATGTTTAATAAGAACTCCACATTAGTTCTCTACTCTTTAGTTATCTAATAAGAGATAAATCCTATACATAATTAAATGACTGAACAGTATTATAAATAATAATTTTAACAAAAACAATTGTTATCAATAAAAATATAATAAAGAATATTGATGAATGCACGGAGACATGATTGATAGTGTGTGTGACCCAATTTTGGTAACTACTGAATATGATGATAAAACATTTATGTATGTGTGCTGTCTCATTGTGTCAATGGTCACTTCTGTTTGGTTGTTATACTACTCGAACCAATAAACTTAATTCTTCTATGTGAAATGTCATCCTGTTTAAATTGTTCTAAGGCTAAAAATTTTTTTGTCTCCACACAGGATATTCGGCACTCAAGTACAATGATGAATCCGCAATATCCACCTCCAGGACAGAACAACAACGCACCCAACAACCCCATGTTTCCACCAACTTCTCAAGACTACAATGGAGTCCAGAATGCAAACATCTACAGCCAGATGCCACCTAATGGACCCCAGATGCAACAGAAGCCATTTGACCCATTGGACATGTCGCAAAAGATGCAGAACATGAACTTAAATGGACCTCAAGGGTTCCAGTCTATCCCACCTACCCAGTTACCCCCTGGTCAGGCTCCACCTGGCCAGTTCCCCCCTGGTCAGGCTCCACCTGGCCAGTTCCCCCCTGGAGGATTCCCACCATCATCTAACTATGGTCCAGGACAGCTTCCACCTAGCCAAGCACCTCCTGGAATGCCTGGTAGACCTCCAGTGAGTGGTGCCCCACAGTTTCCTCCAATGGGCCAGAAACCACAGATGCCACCTTCCCCAGCTCCTGGTCAGGTGCCAACATCCCTTCCTTCTGGTTATGGCATGCCACCGCAAAGTCAAACACCTGATCAGAACAGGCAGTTCCAACCTCCTACTTCTATGCAGCAAAGGCCACCTAGTGCACAACCTAGTCAACCACCTATGGGACAGCAACCTGGGATGCAAGGACCTGGTCACATGCCACCTCACTCTCAGCCTGGTCTCCCTCCCCATTCCCAACCTGGTCTCCCGCCTCAGCCTGGTATGGGTAGACCAGGAATGCCCCCGCAAGGAGGAATGCCTCCACAGGGGGGAATGCCCCCACAAGGAGGAATGCCCCCACAAGGAGGAATGCCCCCACAAGGAGGAATGCCACCGCAAGGAGGACAGCCACCTAAACCGGGAATGCCTCCGCAGCCTCAGATGGGCGGTCCGCCTGGTATGCAGTCAGGTCCACCAGGAATGCCTCCTCAGATGAATATGGGTCAACAACAGCCTGGTATGCCACCACAACCCAAACCACCTGGACTACCTGGACAGCCTGGTCAGCCTGGACAGATTCAAAGACAGCCTGGCATGCCTCCTCAGCCAGGTATGATGTCGGCGCAAATGCCACAGCCTGGCCAACAACAGCAACTAGGTCTTAATCAACAACAACTGGGCAAGATGCCTGGACCTCCACAACCGGGGCTACCACCAGGACAACAGATGCCCCCACAACCAGGACAGATACAAGGTCAACAATCTGGGATGCCTCCACAACCTGGTCAGATGAGTCAGCCTGGTATAGCCCCACAACCTGGTCAAATGCCTCCTCAACCTGGACAAATGGGACAACCTGGAATGCCACCTCAGTCTGGCCCAATGAGCCAACCTGGAATGCCCCCGCAGCCTGGACAGTTGAGTCAGCCGAGAATGCCACCACAGCCTGGTATGCCACCCCAACCAGGTCAAATGTCACAGCAACCGGGTATGCCACAGCAACCAGGTATGCCTCCGCAACCTGGTCAAATGCCACCAATGCCTGGACAACCTGGTATGCCGCCGCAACCTGGTCAGATGCCTGGCCAGCAAGGGCTGCCTCAACAGCCTGGTTTTCAGGGTCAGTTCCAAGGACAAGCTCAGCCAATTAGTGGTATGCCCCACATGCCCCCGCCACTATCCCAGCAGCGTCAGTACCCTGCACAACCTGGGTTTGGACAGCCAGGACAGCAACCTGGTGCTCAGTATCCAAGTAAGTAAAAAAAAAAATATTGAAGAAATTGTGCATTAGGTACTTTTAAATACATATACGGTCTCTTTACACCTAAGCAAACATTGCATGCCGCAATACCTAATATAATAAAATTAAATATGAGTGAGTTTATGAATTTAATTTAAATCTTACATAAGTTCATGCTTCCATTTTAATAATTTAATAGCGGTTTAATGTTAATACATACTAGATTAGTTATGTCCCGTGTGGTTTAAGGCAAAACTTCATGATTTTGCCGCCTATCATAATTTGCTAAATAATGACAAATAATACTTACTCTATCCAACTTGGATTTTAATTTAATACACACAGCTTCCATCTTTGTCTCATAGGGTAGACATAATTGCAGTCTTTTCATTGTCAATTTCTTTTAAACCAACACATGGCTTATTTTTTTCCAGGCATGCCACCAATACCGAACCAGTTGCCGCCCCAGCCACCAATGCCAGGTCAACAACAGCGTGGTTTCCAACAACCATCGTCTGGCTATCCGCCTCAGTACCCTGGCCAGCAGCCCTACCCTGGACAGCAACCTTACCCTGGCCAACAGTACCAGCAACAGCCTGAGCAGAAGAGATTGGATCCTGACCAGATGCCAAGCCCTGTAAGTTGATTCATGTTTTGTTATTATTGATCTAATGAAGTCTCGGTCACGGATATGGTAGCCCAGAGGTTTAAGACACCCGCTTTTCATGCATGAGGGCGCAGGTTCGAAACCTACCAACGGCAAGGTACTAATTTCACTGTTTAGGGTTATATTTACTTTCTAACATTAATAAGACACCACTGAGAAACGGTGAAGGAAAACGTCTTGAGGAAATCAGGGTTTATAATTCCTAATTATAAGTTTCAGCACAGCATTGAGTAAGCGTGGTGATTAATGCTTAAACCTTCTTCGTGTGAGAAGAGGCCTTTGGTCAGCAGTGGCCACTTATAGGATGAATGAACTCTTTTAAGAGGCTTTGCTAGTATGACTCAAGTATAGGATTATGGGCCCTATACTTGTAGGAAAATAACGTCGTCAAATCGTCACACCTATCTCTCATTAGGGAAGGCTTCTCCCGTTTATTTGTCTCTACATGATTCATTGTCTCTACGATGAAACGAATATATAATTCTGGCATACTGCTTTCGCTTCATCTACATTCATCAATCTCTAATTACATGGTATGCCATGGAACCTGTAATTAAGTTATGTTCTTGGAATAATATAACAAATAAGATTCTCATGCAATTGGGTACTTTGCTTAAACTGAAATAAATTATTTCGACTGATTCTATACAATAAAATATTAAAAAATAATCAAACTTTCATTAATTGATGTTACGACTAACTTAATTTTAGTATATTTACAGCAAAATTTTAAGTAATAAATATGCTGTTTGACGCTAAAAAACGTGACGTCACAATACACAATCTCGTACAAAATTCATAAAACTAGCGTTTTTGACAGTTCCCAAAAAGTATGAATTCGACTAGTTGGCAAGTACCCAATTTAATGCAAATATAAATCATCAATGATTAGTATGGATGCGTTTAAAGTTTGGGATATTAATGGTAGTTTATAATATTTTCTCCATTCTAAGATTAGAGTACTGTAATAAAAACTTATAATTAATTTTTCACCTTTTCCCTTCAGATCCAAGTGATGGCAGACGACCAGCAGAACCGCGGCGGTATCTTCGTCACCAATGAGAAGGGGCTGGTACCTCCCCTGGCCACCACCGACTTCGTTGTAGACGATAAAGGAAATGCCAGTGAGTTTACGACATTAAGTACTAGTTTACAAAAGTAGTGCTTAGCTATTTACAATCACTTATGAGCTATGTACCATCCATTCCAGGTCCTCGCTACATCAGGAGTTCAATGTACACGGTGCCAGTGACTGCGGACCTGCTCAAACAGACATCCATGCCATTCTGCTTAGTTGTGAGTTATTCATCATTTTGGAATACCAAATTATTAATATTTAATTAAATTATTATTCAAAGTCAAAGTCATTTATTTCAATTAGACCAGAAAGGCACTTTTGAACGTCAATAATAAAATTCCTATGGAGAAGAACGAGCAAGAAACTCTATAGGTTACTCTTTTTCAATCAGGTTCACAATACAATTCTCTAGTTACACAGTTTGCTGTTTGGATTGTGCGAGAACAATGTAACACTAAAATCTAGTCAAAGTGATTGATATATTATAATTTTATGACAATATGTTGCAACATGCAACTTATTGTGTGTTTTTTTCCGCCCGGAGCCAGTCTGTGTTATCCATGATTTGTTATTCCAAGTCCATATTAAGGAAAAAGTTGAAAACCATTAGATTTTAATAAATAGAAAAAAAATGTTTCGAATTGATTTTGATCAGTACAAATAATAACCATTTCTTCATTAGCTGTCCCCGATGGCAGAGACAGTAGGGTCTGAGCAGGAGCCCCCTCTGCTAGACTTTGCAGCCCTGACTGGGTCCCCTACGATGGGCCCGGTGCGGTGCAGTCGGTGCAAGGCCTACATGTGTCCGAATATGAAGTTTGTGGATGCTGGGAGACATTTCAAATGTGCCTTCTGTAAGGCTACTACTGAAGGTATGTGGAATATAATGACTATGTATTTCACTACATAGTATAAAACAAAGTCGCTATCTGTCTGTCTGTCTGTCCGTATGTATGCTTGGATCTTTAAAACTACGCAACGGATTTTAATGCGAGAATACATGCATATTGCACCCGTGCGAAGCCGGGGCGGGTCGCTAGTTTTTATATAAATTACTGTAGCAACAAATTTTACCGTCAGAGTCGGTAAATGGTTACTCGGCTATGTACGGCTGCAACACCAGACGCTTCATGAGAGGGTTGCTAACTATGATATGACTTTGGATCTCTTTTTGTATCTTGTTACATCAGGCCCTATCATATTTTTTGCTCACCAGATTGCGCTAGACTTGTCTAACTAATTAATTTTGTTTGACTTATCTAACTAATTAATGGACTTACCGATTTAAACTCTTATAAGAGTATTTGTATGCCTAAAATAGGCTGATCATAGCGCACTTTAATAATCTAAAAATGACCAACCAAATGTACCTACCTATGTATCACAAATAAAGGTTCCATTTCATTTCATTTCATCTCTAGTGTGGACTTCTCGTTCTTCGTCCAATAGGAAATTACCTAGTGTAACACCATTCGACGTTCAATATTTGACAGCTGCTGTGATTGAACAAAAAATTCCTTCCTACATTTACGCCTTGCGAGGAAAAAAACGTTAGCCCCTAATGGTTAATAATTTCCGAGTCTCTTCACTTGTGACTTAACTTGAATGACCTTGAAACAAGTCTAACTATAAATAAAATAATAATTTAAGTATACCTATACTAACGGCCTTATCGTCGTCGGCTTAAAAAATAGACGTGTAAAAGTACTGCCTTGTAGCATATTTGCAGAAATAAATTCACTTGTTTCTCTGTGGTCCTGGGGGCGTAGTACAAATTAGGTTTACGTTTAAAGTGAAAGAAACGAAACCGCGTTCCGCGCTCTGATTGGCCGGCTCCAATGATAAACCAACCAATTAGATTACAGATTACTTTAAACACAGAACAAACTCGTAGTAAGGCCTTTGGTCTATTGGACTAATAACCTCAAGCCTTCTTCTCTTACGTCCAGTTTCTATAACCTATCTATCTGTAGATTTGCTTACTATAGTCAGAATTTTAATTAGATTCGAGATTTGACAATAGCTACTGTCATTTTGTGAAATAATGATACCACATGTAATAGTATAGCGATGCACACAAAAATCGATAAACAATCAGTGTGTGTGTTTTATAATAAATGTTACAGAAAGTGGCAGGATAGTGATAGCGATGACGGCGACAATTTATAAAATAACGTATTACCATAATACATCAACCTGTTTTATTTGTCATGTTCCTTCATGATTACATTTTTTTATTTATTTCACACACAATTATAAAAGAAACGTCTCAGATCGTTAATTAATCGTCAAAACTAAATTATCGGTTCAGAAATATTTAATTTCCTGATATACTTAGTTCACGAGAGTAAAATTATAATTGTTATAAACGAGAAGAATCGATCCAGAAATATTGCATTTCCATATCGAATAATTTCGCAACGTCACTATTTAGTACTTGTCATAACGTTGCCACACTGAAATTGTCAAATCTGGAATCGAATTAAAATTCCGAGTATAGAGATAGAACTTTGACACATTATTTTGTATGGAGCTCATGTCAAAAGTCTATCTCTAGTAAGCCAATCTACAGATAGATAGGTTATAGAAACTGGACGTTAGTCTATTTACACAGCTAGTATTTTTATGTCCATCTTTGTTTGTCTATGTAAAGATATAACATGGCGTCTATTATGTTTCAGTCCCGATGGAGTACACCCAGTACATAAACAGTATGCAGCAGTACGGCCGGGTGCCGGCAGAGATGGCGCTCGGCGCGTACGAGATCGTCGCCACCAAGGAGTATTGCAGGGTGAGCGTTATAATAACTTGTGTCAATATTATTATTAATTAATAATAATAATTAATATTATGAAAAGTCTATAGATCATCTCAACCAGTCTAGCAGATTCCACGATTAGAGCTGTGGTTAATAAGCAACTAAAACTACGACCATGTTATACCGCATCAGACAACTATATTTGTAACATATTTTTAATGTTACGTTTTTTTCGATGACTTCCTCATTGGCTGAAAGGTCGCAAGTGCGACTACCAGCCAAAGGGTCTCGGGTTCGATTGCCGGGTCGGGCAAAGTATTACTGGGTTTTAAAAAAATCTCATAGCATGGCGTCTGGAATTGTGCCCGGTATATGGCAATAGGCTCATCACCTATCTCATGAGACTCATGATATAAATATTGAAAAGTGAGTGTTACATTGTACAGCGGCATAATGTGCACCTTTATCTACTTCTTCGGAGATAAAAGGTGTGATGTTATTTGTTTTTCGATAAAGTTCAAAATCGCAAAATAAACAATTAACGATAGCTTGTACTGGTGTCTGCACTTGAAGCTGTACCAAACTAATTTACATTATTAGTGAACAGTTGGTGTTAGATTGCATAGTGGTATTAGGTGCCGTAATGAGCATCTCTGCCTACACCTTCGGGGATAAAAGGCGTGATGTTATGTATGTAACTACAGTCTACAGACACTACCGTAAGTTATTTGGAAAGTATCGGACAAGGATTGAATATAGACACCTTTTTTTCTCTCTCTCTTTGTTGTTAGTTTATTCTCCGTACCTTATTTTTCGCAGATTTTCTACTTAAGCTCTAAGCTTAAGTTCGCCTTATGTGCCATAATAAAATTTTGTACATAAAAGAATAAATATATAAAGATTGATTACCGAGTGAATGTCCCCCCCCCCAGAACAACACGCTCCCGAACCCCCCGGCCGTGGTGTTCGTGCTGGACGTGTCGTACAACGCAGTCAAGACTGGCCTCCTGCACACCGTCTGCGAGAACATCATGGACATCATCGATGTAAGTACTTTTTTTTGAGGGAGGAACATCATCCAATGGTTTCTCCCGCCTGAGTGAGGCGGGAGGGACTGTCAGACTCTTACTGACTAAAAACCACCTCGTCCCTACTCCTGCACTTCGAGCCGGAGCCCCGGCAACCTGGATAAACCCTTTATCTATAGGATATACTTCAAAATGATTACTGCAAAAACTTTAAGACTACTATATGCCCGCGACTTCGTCCGCATGGAATAGAGACTGGTTAGTTCTTCACAGCTCCTCTCCCGAAGGTGATGGCGTGCTAATGTGTCACCTATACGTTGACTTGGCCTGTTTGTAATAGTCATGCAAACTTTGAAGTAAATCTATGCAGTACTTTTTGAGTTTAGCCCGGACATACATACAGACAAACAGACAAACAGACCAAAAATCTAAAAACTATATTTTTCGTTTCGGTATCGATTGTAAATTACGCCTCTAGGACTCTTTTAAAAAATATTGAATGTACCTACAGTTTTGATCTTTCTACGATGTTATTATATGTGTAGATTCAGAAACCATTTGAGAAGGTTTCACCTTTTCTCAATACTGGAACAGTTGCAGGCTGACAAGGATGATTACACTAACTTATTTTTCTCGACATGAAAAGGTGCTAAAGTATTTGGGTAACTGTTTGTGGCACAAAATAATAATATAATGATTTAACTAAAAATCCCTGGTTACTCACGTGAATATACAGAGAAAAGCTCTACTAGTTTCGAACCACAGAGGGGTTTTTCCTCGTGAGCAGCGTGGGCGGTCGCGGCGATGTCGCGCAACCTACATACTCAGTATATTCACGTGAGTTATCCGCGATTTTTAGTTATACTATGTTTCACGATAGTTATTATAAAAACATATACATAATGATTTGTTATTCATACTTTTTTTCTGCAGGCGATGCCCCGTGACGAGCAGACAGGCAAGAGTTGGACCCGCGTGGGATTCATCACATACAGCTCCACTGTACACTTCTACAATATCAAGGTAAACACACTGTTCTAAACTCATAATCTACGTTTTACGGTTAAATATTTCATGATTTCACGTAGAAAATACTTTACGCGTGAAGGCTATGCGTCGGAACTCTCATACCACTGTCAGATAGAAACCAGGACTTCATAGGAAACAGAACCGACTGAAAGTTTTACTGTGAGAATGAGTTTTCTAGAGGTCAAAGTCTTAATCCTTAAATATCTAAAGTAAATCGCCAATCCCTAAATCCCCAAGCTCCAGACCCTAGCGAAATCTCCAAAGGGCCAGCAACACACTTGTAAACTTCTCTGGTGTTTTAAGTGTCTATAGATGAAGCCGATTGCTTATCATCAAGCGATACAGCCGCTCATATATTCCTATCCTTTAAAAATCCTTGTTTAATCCTCTTAGTTTGTAGTATTGAGTTAAGGCCTAGCAATTCTAATAAAATATTGTGTTCTTGTAAATAATGAGTTACTTTTATTTACTTTCACATACTTTTAAGAAAGGTAAGAACAACAACGCTACGAAACAGACAGAACAACACAACAGAGCCACCTGGCAGAATTATTCAAAACTAAACTAAAAAGCAGCCAGTGTTAAATTTTCTTATTAATTCAATAAGTATAACTTCAATATATCCTATATTCTATCTACCCAGCTTGTTATCCCTTTAAAAATGTCCATGAGAGTAAGTATGTCCATCCCCCCGCAGGGTACCCTGGCCCAGCCGCAGATGCTGTCGGTGGGCGACGTGGGCGACATGTTCGTGCCGCTGCTGGAGGGGTTCCTGCAGCGCGCCGAGGACTGCGCGCCCGTCCTGCAGGCCCTGCTGCAGCAGCTGCCCACCATGTTCCACGACAACAAGGAGACCGAGACCATACTGCTGCCCGCTGTACAGGTAACTACTGTCAGATACGGTCAAATGATATCTTTCTTCTACAGGTAGCAAACCGAACAAAAATTGATTATTGTTGTCACATGTTGGTAGTCCTCAGGTTATATAGTACTTACATATTTTACTAAGAAAACACGACTTTTGCAGTTAGCACAACAGCTTTTCATTTTCAGAACGTGTAGTAGCTTGGCGCTAAAATCCTACTGTACTGGACTGCCTAATCCTAATGACTACAAGCTAACGTTATCCTACACTATCCTAGATAATCTAGCCCTTATAATAACGTATCCTATAATCTGGAGGTTTAAGACGCTCGCTTTTCATGCCTGATGGTGCGGGCTCGAAACCTACCAATGGCAAGTACCAATGTGACTTTGTACTTTCTAAGACTGTTTAGAAACTACTGACAAACGGTGAAGGAAAACATCTTGAGGAAATCTGGGTATTGAGTAAGCGTGGTAATTAATGCTTAAACCTTCTTCGTGTGAGAAGAGGCTTTGCTCAGCAGTGGGCATTAATAGGCTGTTGATGATGATGATGATGAATAATAGTTGTAATCAACTGGTCAAGGCTGATGTTGCATGAATAACACTAAAACAAAAACGATTAAAATTGTAAGAACAAGTTCTTTTTGTCAGCGTTTCGGGGGTGTTCCGTTTACAACTGTGTTGTTTTTTATGAACTGTGAAATGTTACCAGCTTTAAATAGCAAGGCTTAGTAAACACAACACTGCTTTTGAGTTGGCACCTCTCAATGTTCACACTTTAAAAAGAACTTTATTTATTTATTTATTTAGTAAAACTTTATTGCACATACAGTGAAATTGGCGGACTCAATGCCATATCTATACATATATTGATCTTTCATTTGAAGTAATCTAATGTATCACACTTTTCCAGGCCGGTCTAGAAGCCCTGAAAGCAGCGGACACGTCAGGGCAACTACTAGTATTCCACACCTCCCTACCTACTTACAACGCGCCCGGGAAGCTCACCAACAGGGAGGATCGCAAACTGCTCGGCACTGACAAGGAGAAGCAAATACTCAGTTAGTACTCATTTTACTCATACTCATTTGTACACAATCAGATAGACTAATTTATTCTCATTCATGTTTATATTGTACTCACTCGTACTCATTCTTTGCTCATACATACTCAATCTGTATTACATGGTAAACCATATGAAATTCTGTATTTATTCAAATTAATTCTGTTTATACCAATTTAAACCAACCCTGTACCTAGTCATACTAATTTGTTCTCATTACACACAATGAGTAATCAGTTATACTCATTCTGTGCCCACGCGTACTCATTTTGTACACTCTTATAATCATCCTGTACTCACTCTTATTCATTGTGTACTCACTTATACACATTTTGGAGGAAAATTTCACTTTTTTTGGATTAACAAGTGGACATTTGCCTTGCAGACCCTCAGACGACAGCCTATAACGAACTAGGCCAGTCTTGCTGTGCAGCCGGAGTGAGTGTAGAGTTGTTCCTGTGTAACAACTCGTACGTGGACGCGGCCACCCTGGGACAACTGCCTCGGCTCACTGGGGGACAACTACATAAGTACACTTACTTCACTGTAAGTACTCATCTTTCTATCCACATCATACATTCTGCTATACTTCATGTTGTTGGCAGCTACTCGTACGTGGACGCAGTCACCCTGGGATTCTCGTACTCATTCTGTACTCATTTGTACTCATTTTGTACTTTACGTATTATTGAAAAGTTTTTGCGCATGATGGATGGCACTTCATTATAGCACAAACTTCATTAGTTTAAAGGCATCATTTACAGACCTTTCACTTCTCAAAAAAGGGTGAAATATAATGAGTGCAAGTTTCCACTTCTAATATCTAAAAAAATGTGTTGTAACAAAAATTCAATATTTCGCACGGCAGGCGGAGATGGACGGCCCACGCCTGGTGTGGGACGTGCAGCGCGTGGTGTCACGCCCCACGGCGCACGACGCCGTCATGCGCGTGCGCACGTCCACGGGCGTGCGCCCCACCGACTTCTACGGACACTTCTTCATGGCCAACACCACCGACGTCGAGCTCGCCGCCATCGGTGAGTCGCTCGCATTCAGATGGTTCATTTTTATAACGGACTAGCTAGTTACGGAGATTAGCGCGTTCAAAACAAACAAAAAACAAACTCTTCTGCTTTATATAATAGTATAAGATTGTTTTTTATATAAAAGCAATCTTATACTATTCCCATGTAATAGAGGGTGAGCCTATTGCCACATACCGATTTATATTAGATATAAAAGAAAAGTTATACATAGTTATTATAACTCTCAAGAGTGTCAGTAACCAGTCCAAGCCAGTTTCAGTCGCGACGGATTCGTTTCACCACCGCAACGTGATTGTAGTACGTTCTAGTATGATAAAACCCTAAATTAATGTGCTTTACTATAACCGACAAATCTTATGTTTCTAGACGCAGACAAGGGTATAGGCATAGAAATAAAACATGATGACAAGCTGACGGCGGAGGACGGAGTGTACATCCAGGCGGCACTGCTGTACACGGCCAGGTGTGGACAGAGGAGGCTCCGGGTACTGAACCTGGCACTCAACGTAGCGCACCAACTCGCTGACGTCTACCGCAGCATGGAACTCGATACTTGCATCAACTTCCTCACTAAGCAAGGTATAGCAGAATTAGATATGGTTTTTTTTTGAGGGAGGCGAATCATTTACTGGTTTTTCTCGCCTAAGCAAGATGAGAATGGGAGTCAGATTTTTACTGACTAAAAATCATTCATCATTATTAGATATAATATTTATATTTTAGATTTTTTAAAGTGACAATAACAGCGAATAATTTTGGAATCGTATTTAAGTTAACAAAAAAAAGATTGTGGTTGTGTCTATTTTGTGGTTGACATATTTGGGGTAAGATCCAAAACTATGATCTGCATAGTTTTGGGACTTCTCCCTCAGGTAAGTCCTATACTTGGGTATAGGACTTACTTGGGGAAGTTCTTCAATGTTATTAGTAACCGAGTGATTGATTAGATTGTAGTGGCAAGTCTTTTTATAAGTATGTGGGAACACTTTCCCTTGCAGCCGTCTGGGCCCTGCGCGAGCACCCCCCGCGGCAGGTGCGCGAGTCCCTGTCGCAGCGGTGCGCGCGGTCGCTGGCGGCGTACCGGCGGCACTGCGCGTCGCCGTCGTCGGCGGGCCAGCTCGTGCTGCCCGAGCCCATGAAGCTGCTGCCGCTGTACTGCAACTGCGTGCTGCGCGGCGACGCGGTGGCGGGCGGGCCCGACCTCACGTGCGACGACCGCGCCGCCGCCATGTTCCGCGCGCTGGCGGCCGACGTGCCCGCCTCCATCGTGTACACGTACCCGCGCCTGCTGCCGCTGCACCGGCTGCAGGACGCGCCGCCGGCCGCGCTGCAGCCGCTGCGGGCCTCCGTCGACAAAATGAACGACCACGGCGTTTATCTACTCGGTCAGTTGTCCTCTATTATACAAGTAAATGTGATTTTCTTACAGATGTAAAATAATATTTTTAATCCGTTAGACACAATGAAGTCGGATCACCGGTGACCAATGTTAGCAAAGGTTCAACCTTCAACAGTTTTCTATCGACAGCCAAAGATTTAACATAACAATTATTGATCCCATTTCTCTTTTATAGAATGTGACCATTTCTATTTTAGCAACACTCACTTTTCGTCGATTTTATAGTAATATTTTCCCATGCTTACAACTGCACACAATTCTAAACATATAGTTACTATTGAAAATTACGGAATCGAAAAATTAAATAATATTTTGTTCGAACCTCTTCAAGCAACCAAAAGTTTTCGTTCAACAATGTTATTGATGAACCGACATCTGACCACGTATCTCGCCTGGTGGTAAACGATGATACGGTCTACAATGGAGCACGTCAATATAACTCATAACCACTCGCCAACCTTAACTACAATAAAACCCAACACCATTCTCCAAATCACAGAAAACGGCGTCCACATGCTCCTATGGGTAGGATCGCAAGCGAACCCCGAGTTCGTCCGCGACGTGTTCGGCGTCCCGTCCCCACAACAGATCGACACGCAGGTCTGCGAGCTGCCCGTCCTCGACTCGCGCGCCAACCAGAGCGTCAGGGAACTCATCGAGGATACGCGCATCAAACGACGAACTGCTATGAGGGTGAGTGGAAATATTTGTAATTTACTTCATTTTAATACTAAATTATGTGGTTTTTTCCTGTAGCGACTGCTTATCCTGTAGTACTTAAACCATACGATCTATATTTTATTATATAAAATTGAATAATGTTCATGCGGCTTACGTCATTTTTAAGTGCTCGAATATTTTCGAATGCAATTAAAAGCTCTCGTATGGCTCAAAACTGTACAAGTATGTCTTATGAACATTATTTTACTGTAATATTTTTTATCTGTTTTATTTTTGCAAAGTTAGAATTTTCTTTGTTTGTGTAATATAGTCATTTGTAAATATCATTAAAAAGAACACGGACACGAATCAAGCTACTCTGTACATAACATGATCAATTAAATAGATAAGCAATCAGTTGATCTTTTTATCTTTTTATACCTGTACATAGATTTCTTTGTGTACATAAATACAATACACACACAAGACAAATGATTCAATTAATTTTCCTACTGAATGCTCTGCATGTGTTGATAGAGCTTTTAATTTTTCTTCTGAGTATAATAATTTTAGTAAAATGAAATGCGTTCTATCTTTTTTGCTACTTTTTTTTTTGCTCTGGTCGCCATGCCTGATGAAATTGCTATCAGTTTTTTTTTGAGAATAACATAAGATGAAGTTTTCCAAGTATTTTTTTGTGGATAGCCGCATTTTTTGGTTTGTAAAATCAACACCTACACATTGCAAAAAATACACAAATGAACGTTTTGATTTGAAGTAAATTTCATGAATAAAGATAACTCGGACAAATGAGAACTAATCAAGCTGTTAGTCAATCGATTTCATACAGTAACGTTCACGGAAAATATGATCCTTAAATATACTTAAATAATGTTGATTTTACAATCAGAAAAATAGATACACGAGGCTCTCAAAGCTTATAGACTTGGCATGTGTGCATGGCATCTACCTTCTTCTCTTGGCACCCAGCTGACGATAGTGCAGCAGTCGTCCGCGGCGCCACTGGCGCGAAGTCTGCTGGTGGAGGACCGCGGCGTGGACGGCTCCGACGGCTACATGGAGTACCTCATGTCCGTGCACAAAGCTGTGCAGAAAATGCTGTACGTTTCAACCGGTTCTGGAAATTTCTGGGCGTTTTTGGCGGGCTGGGAACCGTTTTGGGGTCATTTTCGGGCGATTAAGGGCTTTGGTGGGCGTGGCGTGGAATTGAAAGTTGTGGGGTTTACCATACCATTGAGAATACTTCTAACCATATTTTTATTTGGGTTAGACATTGTGTTGTCCCTGTCATTAAGTTTGCAACACAGATATCGACACGACTGTGTTGCCAACCTTTTCATTGGCTTTAAAAAAGGTACTAATTTAGTAGTGTGGAATTGTTATTTTTATTAACCACCATCGTTCATTATAAAGCTTTATCAGATATTGACTTTCAATTCCACTGCCCTAATGATGGATTATTGATTGGTATTTTCAATTTAAGTGCTCTAGGCCTTGCATGCATTAAGAAATTGTACTCAATTTGCAATCGGATGGCGATTTTCGGTGATACGCTGGTTTTTCTCGCTACCCTTGTGTGATGCTTCTCATATTTGCCGGAATGATCTGTTTATATTGGTTTTATTTTTTATATATTTCTTCATTTGTATTAAGTGTTTAATTACTATGCAAATATCTTCATGACTTATTTGACTGTACACTATTTTATGTATTATGTTTGTGTATATTTATAGTGATAAAATTAGTTATATTATTATCATTATGTTATATAAAACACCTATACATGTAACATCAAAATATTTTATATGATCGCCACATAAATATAGCCATCTATTCTAATACACAAAAACATACATAATATCAAAGCCACAAATCCACAATACATAATGCTAATACAGAAATCATTCACGATTCAATTTGCAATTACATTTCAGAACCCAACTTGATACAAATCTGAAAAATAACCTACATCTGGAAAAAATTGTTGTATTAATTTTTAAACACAATTTGTTTTTTGTTAAAAAATCCTTGCACTAAGGATTTCTCCTAATTATGATACCTGTTTAATTTTTCAGGTTTAGCAATTCAAATGGTTGCATATAAACTTAAGAATTAAATACCAAATGATCAAGTTCATAGTAGTAATACAGTTTTGTCTTAATACAGGAACCATATAATATGTATCATAATATGACCTGTAATATAAGTTAACGATAATGTATTTTTGGCAAGTGTGCCATCTTAATGAGCTTAATGTTTTAGCTCCCATTTCAAGGCGATAGATAAATGTGTATTTTAACTCCCTGCCAGAACAAAAAAAAACCTATACCAATTTCTAAACATTCGGGACTTGTTCCAGCTAACAACAATGCGACAGCACGACAAACTGGAGGCGGTGTTGCGTCACTTCTTAGTGGAGGACCGCGGCGTGGACGGGAGCTCCTCCTACGTGGACTACCTGTGCCACATCCACAAGGAGATCAGGGCATTACTATAGCATCTGTACGGACACTACTAAACCGTGGACACACTTTAACATGGACTCTCATTTTGTACCGAACTTCTATTAGTGTTTCTGCTATGATTAGTGCTCTTTTGGCGGCGCTGGTGTAGCTTAAAGTCGCTTAGGACATATACCTATAAAAATAAGTGTTGGTTTTGACTTTAAACTACATTACGTGCCTTAGTGGCGTTAAAAAATATTTCAAAAAAGTGTATTATAAATAAAATTGTTGCTAATACTAAAATCGTTGTAATAGATCTTTGACGGCTTTGCTAGTCAAAGTAATATGGGGGGTTTTTGAGAAATTGTCAGTTTTAGTATGAGATTAAATGACATAACTGGCTGAGAGTGTACTGAGTGCATTACTGCCTATCCTTTAAAGGCATTATGTTAAAGAAGTACTTAGTAAAAAAATATATTTCAATCTCTCTTTCGCACGTGTAGTTTTAAATTGGAGTAAGAGAGAAAGAATATGTTAATCTCACTCGGTTTTACAGTCTTTTGAAAAATCTATGAAATGTATTTAAAAAATTAGAGATTTATCAGAGATGATTTAGGAGGAGACATGGAAAACCGTCTTTCATGTTTAAAAAAATTAGCAATGTTAAAATTTTAAATTAATTTATTTCATACAATCGTTTTGGGTTCAATTAGACCTAAGGACCGCAGACTGTATGAATACTTTGGACATATTGTTCTAGTCTCTGCCTACTCCCATAAGACAAAGGCTTGGTGAAATATCGACAAAATAAGAAGAATGTAGGCGGATTTGATTCTCTATTCGTGTGTACCTATGGTAAAATTTTACCCAAAATAACTGTATATTGAATAAATTGTCGCAATAATTATATATGTAAATAAATTCTCGTATATATGTTTGTATGTAAAGTTAAACAAAGTAAGTAAACATGTAAAGTACCCACATTCCTCCCTTGTATAGTTATCAAATAAATATTTTCATTCTAAAATTCATGTTTTTGAAAAAAACTACTAAAACACCAGATTTTCTACCAAAATCAGGGTTGCCATTTGAAAAATGAATATTAAATGTGGGTTTTTGGTGATGGTCCAATTTAGGCTTCCAGAATATCTGTATTTACTCTTATGATGAATCGGTATAGTAATTACACTCTTAAAGCTAAGGTAATAAGGTTGCTTTTACAACAAATGTTATTAATGTCACCGATTGAAGTAGTTAGAGGCTCCTAGTGGCTAGAGGACCATTAATAGCTTTGAAGATTAATCTCCTGCAATAAACGTCTTTATACAATCGATTATAAGGTGCAAATTCGTATAACAGCCGTTTTCAAGTTGTCGTTTTTGTCCTATCTGACTATTAACGTCCAATAATAGCATTTATTATATTAATAGTATATATTATCCTGACATACTTAAATAGGGTAGGCAGAAGTGTACTTCTATGCTTAGAAAATTAGGTTTTACTATAAGAAGTTAATAAATCTATAGTGTTATGAAATTATACCTGAATTTTGATTGTGTATCTGTAAAATGTACACGTTTGCCTACCTGTACGTGTTAAAGGTACAGTGGGCAGCAGGTGAACCTACTCTTTTCTGTCCAATCATTCGATTTTCAACTCTATCGCTTAGACATGAAGTAGAAAATCCAATGACAAAGTGGAAGTAGGTTAATGTGCTGGTCACTGTACAATGAATAGAAATGGTAATAGGTTTTCGTCTTGTTCTCAATAGATGGCGTTGGTGATGATAATAGTAGTGTGTGTTAAGTGTTGAAGTTAAGTTACCAATGGCTTAACCCTCTTGTCTGTCGATGTATGAGACACATTAGAAAACACATTGTCTCGCGTAGTTCTGTGTTCCGACTCTTCACAGGTTATTTAAAGACAAAGCTACTGGATAATGGTTCTTAAGTCCAAGAGTTAATTTGTATTTTTTTTCCTTTTCTTCGTATATTCATTAACAATTGATTCAAACTCAAAAGCATTTATTTCAATTAAACCATAATTTGATACTTTAGAAACGTCAACAAATATAAAAGAAACTAGCTACTTCCGCGCGGCTTTACACGCTCTGCTCAGCTCCTATTGGTCGTAGCGTGATATTTTATAGCCTATAGCCATCCTCGATAAATGCGCTATCAACACAAAAACAATTATTCAAATCAGACTTGTAGTTACGGAGATTAGCGCGTTCAAACAAAAAAACAAAGTCTTCCGCTTTATATAATAGTATAAGATAATAGTCTGTCAGTCTGTCCGTTAGAGAAGCTAGGCGCTCATTCCAATGGCTGTGTCTGTTTATATCTCTTTGACTAGACAAAGTTTCAGTTGTTTCATGGTTAGTATCTTCTGTATTCTTGGCTTACAGGAATTGTAACGATGGAAAATAACCAATGAGAATATTACCACGTACTGTGTAAGTATCACAGGACTTAATATCACACTAGCGCCCTCTATGAGAGAGTTCAAAAACCTTTTACTAAAATTATTAAAAGGTTCGTTACTATATTTTGATAAAGTCTTTGAGGTCAGTGACCTCTAGGCAAAGCAATGTACGTTAAAACTTGATAAGACTTAACTATGTACAGTTAATACTTGTTTTTCATTAACTTTTATATGCAAGGTGATTTTTTTCCAAGAAAACCTACCTAGGTATATTTATTTCATATGGTTTTATTTTCAGTGTATTACAGTATTTTTAACCCTACATTTTCATCTTACAAAGCTATTTGAAGTAAAAAATCGCCCTGTATATAAAAAAAACTAGCTCATACAAGACTTGACGATGAATGCATCGCAGTGTAAAATCAAAAGATCATACACTTCCAAAAAATAACTTATTCACGTCTCTATTATAAAGATCATAAGGTCCAAATTACATTCGCTCTTAAGCAGTAACTGTCCTTCTCACACAACTGTATTCTTAATGTGTGAGAAAGAGACAAGACTACTTAGCCTAAGCACATGTCATGCTCTGTTTGACCTTAAGTCATTCTCAGATTATGAAAGTCAATTTAGATATGGTTTTCTACTTAAAATAGTTTACTTAATAAGTTTGGGATCGAACCTGAGACATTTCGAATATAAGAACGATCCAGTCATCTTCCAATGTAAATTATTTTTAAGTATAATTATTACGTTCTACATTGGCTCATTATTCATTATTCAAATTATTTAAATTTCCAAAAAGTTAATTTTCAAAATTACCATGTTAAAAATATATTTAAAATTATATTTTCCAGTAGTGTGCTAGTAATACTAGTAGCTCAAGTGTTGCTACACGAAAAAAATTAAATTAGTAGAAATGTAATTTTCTCTATATGTAAGTTGTTTTTGTTTAATTGGAGAAGTTGTTTCCTACGATATTAAAGCTAGAAATATGTTTATTTGATTGTATTTTATAATGTAAATAAAATATGGCATTATTTAATCCTTATTTGTTCTTATTTTATGTTCTTTAATTTTCTTCTTAATATAAAAAATATATACTTAATATTAATATTATTATTCCACACCATTCGTGCGTGCCACTAAAACTACCATTTAAAATTGAATTATCTTTATTTTTCTAATTTATTTTGAGTTCGTCTAAAGGCTGATTTATCAATCAACATATAATTTTGAACTGTAGAATAAAATTGATATTAGACAGTTTTTAGTATGGAAGAATTGTCAAATATTCAAAGTTATTCTTCCGACTAAATTGATGGTGTTGCAAAAATCGACCTTAGAATTAAATAATATAAAGATGGACGCAATACAAGACCCGGCCATTTTAAGCCAAATTTTTTATTTTTTTAGTCAACATACGGCAAGTCTTAATAAACCTATCTGTGTGTCCATTTGGCTATCGACTAGAGATGAAATTTTGACACAAACTGCAGTATAAAGGCTGCATTGGCGCAGTGACTGGACGACTGCCTGCTATGCGCGCCACGGGTTCTCTTTGTGTGATCTGCAGATGGTTATTCCAGGTCTGAGTGTGATGAGTATATGAAAATCATTAATTTGTAAACGCTCCCACGATACAGAAGAAAATTGCGGCCATATTTAAATTTAAAATAATGTGTCAGAATTTTATCTTTAACAACATAATCTACAGAGATAGGTTAATTACGATTAGCCGTTTGATAAGAATCTTCCGTAAGTATAAACTTAGTTTAGATTAGCTAGTTAAACCGTGGTGTGAGAGACAAGATATTGTTAAATAGTGTTAAAATGTGTGACTATGTAAGTTTCTAATAGTTAATAAATCCTTTTATATTTAAATGCTTTCATTTTTCTACATAGCACTCACAAAATAAGTACTATCACTATATTTTAATTTTTCTATACAAATTGGGCAGCCATTTCCCTCACTAGCGCCATCTCACAAACGCGAAATCGGAAACTCAATTTGAAATCGATGGCAAAGGTTTTGCTTTTAAATAAAACGCGTTCATATAAATAAGTAATATCGTTTATATAAAGTTACATGAATATTGTTCATTTAGTTAAAATAATTAAATAAATAAATTCGTTAACTATTTTATTGCTATCTACAAACCATTGATTTTGTTTGACATCTTGCGACTTCGATGAAATGGCTATCATGTTTTCTGAAAAAAATTAAATAATGGCATCATCATCTTTAGGTTAGAGAGTCGCAGTTAAGTCACCATAAATGTTATAGTTCCTCTCGACAACATTGAACTGGAGACTCTGTTACCATTCAAGAAGAAAAAAAATATTCAACAAAACTTTTCGAACTTGCTTATCTTTCGGTGGACACTGTTTCAAGGCGTACCCTGGCCGTCTGTACATCATCCAATCGCAAATAATCTTTTTCCCTCCCCCCTTTTAGGTGGTTGTTTTGTGTTCCACGTAATATACTGACAAATCCAAAAGAATACCGACCTGATAAAAGTCAGGAGAAAGTAAGAATAGTTTAACGCCGGCATCGCACTTATGAAACTCCTTTGATATTGTGGGTGTTCATTGGTTACGCCGATTACTTACCACCTATCTTTATATCACTAAAAGCAAATCAATATGATAGTTTGTTCACCTTTTTAGGATATATGACTTCAACATCGATTGTGTTGTAGTGGTTCGACACGTCGGTGTAGGTATTGTGACGGTAGTAGGCTATCACCACGGCGCCCAGCTGCAGCAGCAGCACGCACGCCTTGGCGAACCTCATCCTGGAACATCTTGACAAACAAACGGACAATCAGTGACAGCAACTGTAGATTAAGTTACAAGAGGTAGAATTTCTTAAAAGCTTTGCAAACAATTTGTGGTAGGTAACGAATAATCATTTCACGTCCGACATATTTATAATCAAAGCAATAACTATTTATCCAAGGAAGCCATGCTTCACAGCAGTTCTCTTTGCAATTTGCAACAATTTTTGATTGACATATTTTATTTTATCACTAAAGAACCAAGGTATTATGAGGGTATGGTTTCAATGACCCTATTGTCCTGCTCAATAATGAACTATTATGGAAAAAAAATCATGACATTTTACTAAAATAAAAAATAAAACTTTTATGAGACATTTAAAATTATTTATCGTAAAATGGGGTGAATAGGGATCGATAGGTGAATAGGAACAGAAGAGGGGAGAATAGAGATATAAGGAAATTCTTCATAGTATCGATTCACCCCTCTTCTGTTCCTTTTCGCCGCTCAAACCCTATTCACCCTATTTTACCGTTATTAGGTTTTCGGCTTACCCACGTACTGTTTGACGAAGAACTACCTACTAATTTCAGGCCATCCTAGAGGCTCATATTCATGAGTAGCATGCCGCGACCCTCGACCCGCGACGCGGCGACTGTCGCGCTGCTACTCAAGTCTACTAGTCAAGTTTATCGTCAATCAGTTACGCGAGTAAGCCGAAAACATGATGATTAAAATAATAATTGATTCAATTCTTACCGGTTTTTGGCACAGAATTTCAAAGACAACTCTTCAATAGTTGCAGAGGACATAATAATTAGTTAGATACGGACGAAGGAGAAGCGTTACACGGCGTTACGTTGCACCTCAATCTTTCCAAAAGTTCCTTTTCAAACTTTACAACTCATTTGCCTTTGCCTTTACCTTTGCCTTTGGGCATTGTATCAGGCTGTAAACAAAAATATATATTAGGCACTTTAGTTTTACTGCACCGTGGAACTGTGTGGCAGAGTCACACATAAAAACACTCAAAAACTAAAAGCCTCCATCCGAAGCAGTTCAAATAAGTAAGATAATAAGTTTTTAGAGTGTCTATTGTCAACTTGTAGAACTTATTTTTTCGGGCGAACGACAACTATCCGTAAAATGCGAGAAAGGCTGTAAACATCAAGCTACGATCAATAGGAGCAGCGTTAAGTGGAACTAAGACTAATATTAATTTGGACCGAATCACCCACTTTGGACCATATCCCATGAATATACAGTCATCCGAACATAGTACCTTCTCTTTTTAAACTCGATACAAATATCGTATGTATATTACTACATATTTATCTTATATGTTTTGTATAATATTTTAGCTACGGCCCAATTGTTTTTTGTTTTAATACGTCAATCAATCAATTGGGCTCGATCCATTGTACACTAGACTTTTCATGTGACCCCACACATAAAAGCACATGGGGGTCAAGTCTTGATTGGTCTGGACTCCTGGCTGTCCACGATGGTTCACATCTTATGATCCACTAATTGGAATATTTAGTGTCCCGCCACTCTCTGACACTCCTTCAGAAGCGTGCGGGGCAGCCATCGAGCAAATTGAAAAAAAAGACTGCACGGTTGGTGCGGTGGCTGGGCAACCGGCTGCCGTGCAACGTGTCGCGGGTTCGATTCCCGCACGGGACAACACTTTGTGTGATCCACAAATTGTTGTTTCGGGTCTGGGTGTCTTTGTGTATGTGAACTTGTATGTTTGTAAACGCACCCACGACACAGGAGAAAATCCTAGAGTGGGGCAACGTTTTATTTAAATAAACTAAAAAAAAAACTAAATAAAAAAATCTGATAGTTCGTTTTTCATTTCTGCGTCTTTGTTTCAAGATTCTTCCGAGAACCTTATCTATACCCTAGCATGTTATACCTTATTAGAAAGCTTTATCAAACATCTACAGAACATCCGTTATAGACTTTTAAAAATATCTTACTAAGAAAACCAAGCCTTACCACAATTTATTTGTGTTTTAATAATCCTTCGTCCACTACGCCTCTGTCGGTGTAGTCATTTGCAGTTTTATGGTTTCAAATAATAAAACACTACAGTATAAAATTAAGACACAAAAAAGGGGGCAAGTGAGTTTCAAAGACCAATATCTTGCTGGTGTTGGTGTTCTTTCTAAGTCAAATCGGTCAGGAATGGTGCATACAACCTAAAGGTCCTAAAGGATATAGGTCGAATGAATCTGTATCCCTGAATGGGTGCTCTTACCCTGCGACAGCAAACTTTGTCACTCTTGATATGTTGTTGCCTGCAAGCTAACACGTCGCCAAGAAACAAGGCAATGAGCAGGAACAATTCGAGAATATGCTTGAACATTACTGAAAATAATAGTAAAAAAATTAACAGTCTGTCAAATCTAGATGCAACGTTTGTTTATAAACGCATCCACGACTCAGGACATAATCCTAGTGTGGGGTAACGTTTATTTTAAAGAAATATTGCAATTTATTACTTCTCATTAGCATCACAGGGATGGTCCTCCATCACATGGGATGTATAAATAAAGTAATTAATGAATAGTGGGTGTCACATGATGAAACTAGTCGAGCTTCTTGTTAAACAACCACGCGAGCCGAAAACGTAATAATTAAATGATCGGTTGAAAGACCATTGGTCGTAAAAATCTGACGCTGGCTTACGGTCTTATCTGTACCCGCTTGTGCATTTATTACGATTCTTATTAAACGACTTCAAAAGAAAAGGACCTCCTTTTACTCACAACATTCGTCGGCAATACTGTTGCTATAGAACCAAAATGCTGTGTACGACATCTCACTATAGAGTAAAAAAATTGGCACAGGTGTACTTTTTAAAGCTATATGACTAGGATTTTTTTCTATATTTTTCTGATAACTGTTGGAACCTTGCCGGTCCCTTGGTAGATACCATTTGATTGTCGACTTTAGGGACACCCTGTAATAATTGGGTACTTGCCTTAATAATAAGTAATAATCACACTTTCATTATATTATTACCTAATAAATTAACTTTAGTATTTTTCCAGCATTTTTTAAAGAAATAAGTATGCTGTTTAACATAAAAAATATGACGTCACAATACACCATCTCGTACAAATTTCGTAGAAAACTATCGTATTGACAGTTCGAAAAAAGTATTGATTTTGACTAGTTGACAAGTACCAATTAACCGACTTTAAAAAGGGGGTTGAAGACGATTTTTTTATGAAAGAATTATAATAACCCTAAGGTTGACTGGTAGAGAATGCCATATGGCATTAAGTCCGCCTTATGTGCCATATTAAAATTGTGTACATTAAAGATTAAATAAATAAATAAATATCATAATGTAGAGTAGTCGCTTACCTTTGGTACCATCAAACTGACTGGGCTTGGGTCATATCTTAGATCAGTGATCTCGTGCATACAAGATAAGAGGAGACGTTCCTTTTCAAACTTTACAACTTATTTGCCCTTGCCCTTGCCTTTGCCTTTGGGCATTGTATCAGGCTGTAAACAAAAATAAATAAAAATGTAATAAAATGTCGTGGTGGCCCGGAGGTTAAGACGCCTGCTTCAAACGATAAAGGAAAACATCGTGAGGAAACCTGGACTTGTAATTTTAATTATAAGTTTGAAATCGCCAACCCGCAATGAGCAAGCATGGTGATTAATGCTCAAACCTTCTCTGTGTGAGAAGAGGCTTTGCCCAGCAGTGGGCATTAGGCATAGGCTGTTGATGATGATGATGATGATGATGTAAACAAAAATATGTATTAGGTACTTTCACACGCTCAAAAACTAAAAACCTCCGAAGCATATGTTTCAGAGAGTCAATTATAATATACATACCTATAGCATGTATTTTTTCGCGCTAACGACAACTATCCATAAAATACGAAAAATGCGGATAGTGATGCAAGTAAAATCCGGATTCAAAGCCATAGGTAGAGTAGAATATATTCTATTTCACCACTCTGCCCGTGGGTAGGTACCGTAAGAGCCGACTAATTGCCAAAAAACTAAATCTCAATCCAATACCTGTGGATTAAGGTCGATTTTTGACAGCAATTCCAAACAATGAATGACATATAGCGATCCTCTTTCAAGGATCTTGGAGTGAGATTGTTATTGATTTTAGCCGTTGGGGACTACACTCCGACCAGAGACGGGGTCGCAAAACTCTCTGATACACCTGAACCAAACTGCTATCATCATTGCGTGGAGGTTGGTTATAGCTAACCCTCTTACGTAAAGAAAGCACATTGGCCAGGAGTGAACTGTCAGAGCCTGTTGATTATAGTTCTTCAGAACTAGAGGCTCGAATTAAAATAAGTTTGTATGGGATAGTCACAGGAAAGGATTGGCCACATAAAGCTATAAGACGAGAGGAGTGGAAGTAGGGTCGGAAGGCCTTTGCCCTGCACTGCAGGTTAAAAATAAATAAAATGGGATAGTCCATATATCGAGGAAGGAAAACATCAAGCTACTACGATTAATAGGGCAGCGTTAAAACCGCGCGGGAGTGCAGTTTGGCAAAAAGGAGTTTGATTTCAATGATTTTTTGATTGAATGACCCACTTTGGACCATATCCCATTAATATATAATCATTCGTACATAGTACCTCCTCTTTTTAAATTCGATAACAATAACAAATATTACTATTTATTTTACTTTATTTGTTTTGTATTCTTGCACAATCTAAACAGCAAAACTATCTAACTAGAGAATTGTATTGTGAACGTGATTGAAAAAGAGTAACCTATGGAGTTTCTTGCTCGTTCTTCTCCATAGGAATCTACACTTTGGAATGTGCAAATAGCTTCACTTTATATTTTTATGTTGGCTTTCAAAAGTGCCTTTCTGGTCTAATTGAAAAAAATATTTTGACTTTGTATTTTGAATATTTATCAGCGCCGCGACTCGCGCTTGGATTACAGCATTTTAAGCTGAGCACTGGCCTTTTTGCACAGTATACACTGCCCTGACATTTAAAACTATTTTTCTTGTCTTTCTTAATTTTTGTAACGACTATTTTCTTTCTTTCAAAAATCAAAACCAATTGAGTCGGTGTGTACAGGTTGCTACAGATGCGATACTAGCGACTTAACAAGCTCCAACTCTTTGTTGCCAAGCAGAAACCAGTTATTAACAAAATAATTACATAGTATGTGTTCTTACCCTGCGACAGCAAACTTTGTCACTCTTCATATGTTGTTGCCTGCAAGCTAACACGTCGCCAAGAAACAACGCAACGAACAGGAACAGTTCGAGAATATACTTGAACATTACTGAAAATAACAGTCAAATAATTAACAGTCTGACAGGTCTAGATGCAAAGTTTGTTTATAAACACATCCACGGCTAAGGACATAATCCTAGTGTGATAATCGATTTTTTAAGTTTATTTTTTTTTAATAAACGTTGCCCCTCCCTTGGATTATCTTCTGTGTCGTGGGTGCGTTTACAAACATACAAGTTCACATACACATGACACCCAGATCCGGAACAACAATCTGTGGATCACACAAAGAGTTGTTCCGTGTGGGAATCAAACCCGCGACACGTTGCGCGGCAGTCAGTTACCCAACCACCACGCCAACCGTGCAGTCGATTATAATCATAATTTGGATTAGTGGCTTACCTTCGGTATGATCACCTTGACAGCGCTTGGTTCATATCCTAGATCAGGGTGACAGGGCCGGCAGAATGAGTTACGACGACACAAAAACCTACGCCGTTTGCATCCCTGAGTCACGTCCAACACAGACAGCGCGATATGTATGAATACCAGGAAAAATTCATTTAATAGCACCATTA